ATCTCTGCATCTAATAAAATCAGTTGCCCTTTATTCTCCTTCTTCATCTTGGCCCAGGCGGGCCTCCTCTCCTTCAACTCTTCCGCCACGCCTGTGAGGGAGGTGTCTAGCGAAACTCTAACACAAGCAGTCTCGGGACAGCTGTCTAGACACCGGCCTGCAACCTCTGCCGTAGGCACATGTGGTGTGGGAGTCTCCTGCCGGCTAGCGCTATTTTCCCCACATGGCCTAGTGGTAGGCGCAGTTGCTACCCCTACCGGCGGCTGCCTTTTGGCTCTTCAGCAGCCGTTCGGGTCTCTCGATACTTAGGATAATATTTGATGATATGCCCCGGGTCACCGCAAAAAATGCACTGGCCCCGGTTCAATCGTTGTTGCCATAAAGCCTGGTCCGGACCCAACGATTCCCACGGCCTACCCTGAGGTAGCCCTGGGTTCCATCCTCCTACTCTATAGGGAGACTTGTTCCTAGGACGGTTTTGCGGGGGACCTTGACCCCTTCCTCCCGCTTGGCGGTTTCCTCCTCTGCCGCCAACCCCCTGATCGCCCTGAAACCGGCTCCCTGAGGCCCGGCCCCCTTGGCCCTGACCTCTTCCTCCTTGCGGCCTCCCTCCAGCCGCGACAGCAGCGTAAGTCCTCCCCTGGCCCACACTACTGTCCTCCTCCTCGAACCCCCACTCAATCTGATCGTAGGGGATCTCATCCACACTACCCTCATCTAAAGTGAGCACAAGGCTATCCTTGGTCTTGACTTGCCCTGAGATAGTGCGGCCCTTCCACTTTTTGCCTTTGTCTAAATCTTTGTGCCAGAAGGTGGAAATCGACGCAGACTTCGCCTCGAACGCGACCACTTCCCTGCTAAGTATATCATAAGTCATAGCAGGGTCCTGACTCTTGTCAAAGAAGTGACCACGCAGCGCTTTGGGCATGGCCCGGTAGAAGAGGTTGACCAACTGGGTCTCTGTGACCTTGTGGTCAGGAACAGCCACTAACTCATCCATTGTGCACTTGAGTGCCCTTGCACTCTTCCATTGGCGCGAGTGTATTGTCTGAAGCCTATCTGAGGCTTTGACACTACGGGCAACATCAGCGAATCGCTCGCGTAACAACTTCAAGAATTCGGTGAGGGACGTGAACGAGGAGTACGCTACCGGGTCGTCACTACAGTTGGCAGCGCGAACTTGGGACCTTGCAAAGTTGGCGGCCTCATCTCTAAGCGCGTGGATCGCAATTAGGACCTGCTGATCCGGGGATACCTGTTGCAGATGCACATAAGTCTTAACATTGGCCTCCCAATTGTCAAAGTTCTCTTCCCTTTTCCCACTGTAGGAATCAGGAAATTTGACTTTGACCGGCTCCCTGCGAGGACGAGCCTCCTCCTCCTTGGGAGCGGCCACCTTGACGCCCTCAATAGCGCCAACACAAAAACGCTCAGTCTTCTCGAGGCGGTGAGTCACCTCGGACCCCACAGCGCCTACTAAGTCGCGAGCAAAGTCCCGTAAGCTTCCACTTTACGTTGGAGATCCACTTGCGGAATCAATTGTGTTGTTATGGCAGCCCTCACCTCCTCCAGTTCCTGCATTGCCGCATTCGCCGCCTCCACTCTTCTCTTCTTCTCCCTCATCACTGCGAGCTTCCACGCCATCCTTTGTTCATCCTCCATCGCCCGCCGCGTCAGAACATCTTCTTCTGCTTCCCATTTCTTCATGGCGGCTTCTTGCTCATCCTTGGGGATGTACATAGCAACCTCTTCCTCCTCACCCAGGGATAAGTTGGCAACCCACTCCAAAATCTTCTTCTCCATCTCATCACTGCTGCGGCCGCTGTGCTGCCCACTCCTTTGCAGTGGCGGTCCCTCCTCCTCTTCATCCACCTCCTTCAGCTTCTCCTCTTCTTCCTTTATCAGCCTCTCCTTCTCCCTGGCCATTTYTTCCTCCATCTTCTTCAGTTTGGCCGCCTGTTCTTCTTTCAAGGCCTTCTTCTTGGCCTCCTTCTTCTCCTTCCTCTCCTGCAGGATGGCGGCCATCTTCTCCTCCTCCTCCYTCGTGTATGGTTGGGTGGCGGTACCACCTCGAGTGGGCCCTACTCTACACGCAAAGGTATGCCAAAATCCCAGAGGAAAAAGGAGACGCCAGAGGGTCCCCCAGAGGGAGAACCCAACCAGCAACCCATACATCGGGTAGTCATCCATCGTGGTGTTGGTGCACGACAAGGGTCCCACTCCTCACCACGTAGCCCTACCCGGACACACTAACC